CAAAACGAAGATATATGAATCGATTTGAGAAGACTTCAGATGCTAATTGTTTTATAGATCGAGAATCAAATGAAAGTGGTAATGAAAGATAAACAAGATTTGGTAAAATATTAGATTGAATTTGTTTTAAGTGATTTTCAGTTGCTAGATTTAATTTTAATGAACGTAAATTAATAAATGGTTTTAAATAAATATTATCTAATGTAACAATAACAATACGAGTTATTTGTTCAGATAATAAAATCTTTTCATATGTTTGATTTCTCGTTAAAATTAAAGATATATATTTAAGTGAACGAATAAGTTGATTAAAGCGTGTATTTAAATTCCAAAAACCAAATGATATATCACAAATTTTTGTATAACCAAATATTTCTATTATTAATTCATTTGGTAAATTTTCTAATAAAGTAAACATATCTAGAAAAAAGAAAAATTATATTATGTATTATATTGTTTTATTTTAAGAAAATATTCGGATTGATTTTTATAAATAGTTGAAAAATTTTTCTTTATTTCCAGAAGATTTTGATCAATATCTGTTTGATCTATGTTGAGTAAATTAAAAATATAAATATGATAAGTAAATTGTTTTAATAATGGTAAACAACGAAATATTATTGTTGATAACCAATCATAATTTAGAATTATATCTATTGAATTTATGATAGAAAATAATTTATGTAAAGATAATCGTTCAATATTTGGCATTGATGATAAAAGTATTTCAAAATTTTTTTCATCTTCAAACCAAACAATACTTGTAAGAATTAATTTCATACGTTTAATATTCAAATGAATATTTAAATTTTTCGATATATTATGTAATGTTGGTAATACTAAATTTAAATAATATAAATTCGGACAAGTATTTAGAATAGATGAAGAAATAGATGTTATATGTAAATATTGAATATTTGGTGATTGAGTCCATTCAATTGTATCTATTGGTGATTCATGTCCAGATAAAAAACAAGATTTTAATAATGGTAAACCATTAGAAAATATTATTTGATATAATGAACAAATTGAAGGTTTTGCAATTGTATATGATATAGAAAGATATTCAAGATATGGAAAAGATTTCGAATTTATTTGAAAGATTTGTTCATCAGTTGGAAACCATATAATAAGACGATGAATATTTAAAAATTGATTAAATTTTATATTTTGTTTCGAATAAATATTAAGTGTATAAATTTGAGATGATAATATCATATTATAATCAATTATATTATCAAATGGTGATTGAAAATAAAGAGAAAGATGTGATAAAGATTGAAGAAGAGAATTAAAACGAGAATTAAGATTATAAAAAATTTTATAAACTTCTCTACCATCGAAATATTGATATAAATCAATAAGAATTTCATTTGGTAATGATTCCATTGTAGTTAAATGATTATTTATATACATTTATAAAATAAAATCAAAGTAAAATTTTTCAAAATTTATTCACTTATTTTAAATAAGCGATATATTTATATATTTGATTGAATGATATATTGTAGACAATTCATTCTGAAAGAATAGTATTAATAGTACATATTTGAAATTTCAATAATATTATCAAAATTATTTATTATGATGATAAATTCCATAGAAATTAATTCTTATTTCAATCGATTGATTATTTTACTCATAAAAATTTACTTGGAATGGGTAAAGATTAAAAAAAAAAAAAAGAGAAGGGGGATGAAAAGAAAAGGGAAAAAAACATGTAGGGGCCGGGGGGGAGCCCCCCCCCCCCCCCCTCTAGCCAAGAAACATCTGAAGGGGGATACGGATGAAAAATCTTTTCGAGAAACAAAAATTTATTTTGCTGCTGGTGTGCACCCCCTCCCTATTTAGAAAATTTCTGCCTACGCTACTGTATAGAGCTATCAGGTACATCCTTTTTGATCTATATCTACGTGTGGAAAAAAATTTTATTGATTAGAAAATATCACGCAAACAAAAGTGTCCATGATGAGTCTTAATAACAATCATCTTTAATATTTGTTATGCATTCTCATTTACCTAATAAAGATGATTGGAACTTAAACATGCAAAGGCTTTATTTTTTCTCGTTACTTTCCAGAAATTGGACAAAAATTATGCTTCCATAATTTCAAAAAAAATTCAAAGTTAGAGTATTATTATCGATGAAAATAATGTCTGAGTAGCTTAATGGAAAGTAATTTTTTGAGTGCGAAAACAACATGCAAATAATACTTAAATATAATTATTCAAGAATAAAATTAAATAATGTTAAGCATCGATTTTTTTTTTCATTTGCTTTATTGATGAACTTTTTTTCTATGCAAAACGTATTCAATCAAACCTACCACATGATGTATTATTGAGTTGTTGATATTTATCTACTCATGATACATATGATTCATTCTATTTCGAATATCGACTCCTATTGCATACACATAGTGACCATTGAAAACACGTAAAACATCCTTTATATTTTATTTTATTCTTTAATTTTTTTCTCATCGAAAAATATATATATAAAATAATATTTATCAAAAAACTATAAAAATTGACATAAATTTTTCTGTATAGATGCCACTATACCTTGTTTTTTTGTTTTTTGTAATTATTACTGGCTTGAATATTTCTGTTTTTTATTCAACACATAGTAACAGTAAAGCATTTTCGTTGTATATTCATTGTGAAAAGGTTTTTATTTTCAGCTAAATACTTAACTAAAAGTTTTCTTATTGTTAACGAACTGTTTGTGCTATTTATAAGACACATGCGCATTTTCAAAAGGCTCCTTGAAATCACTCGAAAGTATAGTCCTACGAGACAATCGATAGGGTGCAATTTAGAAAAAACTAATGTTTCGAATTTTGTTAATCTTTATATCAAAATGTATTGTACACCTTATAATTTTTTATTTCTAACAAATATCTTACTATTTAAATAAATAATAGAAAAAAAAGAACTAAACTGTTACTCGAGCAAAGTTCGAATTGAAAAGGCGACTGGATGCACAATCCCGAAATATATCAAAAAGCGATTTTATATGACGTCTGCGGTTTGTAAATCTGAGACATCCTTAGAGAAGAACAAATCATAATAAACTTCAGTTACATTCAGCTATCTTAGCTTAGCTGACAAGTTAAGAGATTATGAGTTTGAAGCAACTATTGCATATAACATCTGAAATATTAATGATCTTTTATAGACTAAGTTATGTATGACCGTGCAGGAAAAGTCACAGCTGTTAATTATTGTTTTCTGCATTTTTATAAGCTCCAAACAGATTCGAGTTTTTAAAAAGAAGATATCTGTCAGGGTAACTAAGCGATTGAAAATCAACACGTCGGTTCCTGTACCTTATGAAGTCAGTCATCTTTCAACCAAAGAGACAAACAGAATTGAGCACATGAAAAGTTTGTTCTGCAAGACTCTACTCAAAAGACCAATCTTCCAAAAATTTCAGTCGTATTCTTCAACAAAAATGCATTTTTGAATTATTGAGAGAATATATCAGTTGTAAACGTTCGAAATATAAAATGTTTAATATTAAACTTAACAAAAAAAGTACTTGAGCTTGAATGCAAAAAAAATTACTTAAATTGACACTTATAAAAAAATGTGAACTTCATTCATTTGTAATCAATTTTCTAGTAAATGAAGAGATGTGTATTCCTATTCAAACACACACACATAAAATCTGTTTAAATGAAGTAATTTGACGAACGATGTATGTAATAGTGGACAAGACGTTGATTGAGGAAGGTACATAAAACGGCCAAGGAAAGAAAATAATCAACAGATATATTATCAAAATGGAAAAAACACATGGCACAACAATAATGTATGTAAAACTGCGCAATTTAACATATGTCAATGCTACAATACCTTTTCGAGATGNTGAAAAAGATCACGATTCTTAAATTGATGATTCCAACTTTAGGAGAAAGACAGCAAAGCAATACGAGATAGCAAAAAAAAACAGCTATTATTTTAATGTTTTGACATGAAAACTAGGTCTCTCTTTAAAATAACCACCATTTTCGGAATCAGCGTATCAAAATATACCACTAACTCTATAATTCATCTAAAATTTTTTGTCATCGAAATTTTCACTTGTATGGGGTACATCCTAAAATTTTATTCATAAAAGGCTGAGGGGGAGTAGGGTGAAAATTTTTCATGAGAAAAAATTTTGGACGAAATATAGAGTTAGTGGTATATTTTGATACGCTGATTCCGAAAATGATGGTTATTTTAAAGAGAAACCTAGTTTTCATGTCAAAACATTAAAATAATAGCTGTTTTTTTTTGCCATCTCGTATTGCTTTGCTGTCTTTCTCCTAAAGTTGGAATCATCAATTTAAGAATCGTGATCTTTTTCAAAGTTTTTTTTATTGTTTTGATAGCTTGTGTGAAGCTCCATCAATAGTATAAAATTTACCTTTCAATAATGAATCTTTATCAAGTTATAGTCAAAATAATTTTCTCGATGCACTGCAAAATCAGTGCATAATTCAGTACTCCTATATGATAGACCGTACTCATTAATAGATCAATTGTCTAATATGATTTTATTTTTATTTTATACAGGACCATTAGCTCTATATGCAGTGCAATTTTTGTAGTTGCTGATATAACGGTTGATGAAATACAAAATGTCATGTAGCATCAGGGTCAATTAATTGATGATAACGGTCCTTACCCTAAAGTATTGATTTTTTGGCCAAAACTAGAAATGTCCACGATTCGGTTTAGTGCTTCAGTATCCTCAAGTGTGTCCTAACAAAAAGCCATTTGAAAGATTAAAATTCCAGCGGGGGGGGGGGATGGCGGAGTTCCTTTCAATGTAGAAAAACGATATTTGTAACTACTTCTAACGATGAAAGCAAAACTTGAACACAATTAAAATTGGAAGTAGAATCCTACGTATGTTCAATGTTTTGAATTCACATTATGCATTAGCTGTTTTCTTCAACTGTAATTATTTGATTAAAATTTTCCATTCGTACATAAAATAGAAGTAAACTGTTTGAAAATTAGACAGATTATTGAGTCAATATGTATGACAAGATTGTTGCGCTTTTCTATAAGTTTTTCGAAAAATATCAAACATGTATTAAAACTGCTCATATTATTGTTGCTCTTTATGTCATATTGAATAGAGATGTTTTTAAACGAAATAATAAATAAAACAATTGTTTTCATCTATCTTTTTTTTTTAATTGAGCGTGTTAGAATGACAACCATATTCTAGGTATTTTGAAATATATAAGCAAAATGATTTACTTAAGCTTCAATGAATTTGTTTATATTGTAGGAAAAAAGAATACATTGTGAAATTATTTTACATTTATTGAAACTACCGTGATGGTATATTACAGATAATATGAATTAATAACTTTATAAACATTGTTTTTTTTTAAATGAATTGTAGAGAATGTATAGGAAGCGGTTGATCCTATTAGACTAAATGAACCCAACATAACCCGACAATTTTCTAAATTCAATCTTAATCAAGTTACTCAAAAAAATATCAGTTTCTACCATCAGATAAATGATATATTATCTACACACACATCCACTTTCTGACTGTCACAATGACCATTCATTTGCTCATTTTTCTCTAATTCTAAATAGCCAACGAAAAGTAAATCGTGCATGCGATTGAATGAGATCTACTCAATCACATAAACAGTAACTTTTATGCTCTCAAAAAAAAAGAAGGATTAACAACAACCAATTAGCTATTGTTGTTGAGAAAATTGTCTTTTGATCACCAAAAAAGATACATTTGATCACCAAACTAATTAGTGCCACATGATTCATAGAAAATTACTGTTTATAATTAATAGATGCTGCATTTCTGGGAGATAACGTGCTATGTTAAATTAAAAGTTACTTAATTGATAACTCATAATTAGTTAGTATTAATCTTATCCAATGAATGATCTCATTAACTAAGAGCTTTTATAAGCGATAGTCTTTCATAACGACACACAACATAAAAAGAGGTCAGCTAAAAAATGGACCTTAATACACACAGCTCAATCATATGATGAAGTAAGAGATTTCACAAAATCACGGTTTTATGTTTGTCAATATCGGCGATCAGACTTAAATAATCAAACAAATTTTCGTTTAAATGCAGTGAATATGGAAAATATCCATTCTATTCTTTTGCAATTAAAGTTGTTGTACCTGATAACAATATGCATTGTGTACCAATTATGTCCATAAATTCACATGAACATGAAGAAAATGAACGTAATCCAACAACAGGGTTATCATTACCAATAGGTAAAACCATATCTAATCATGTTAAATGCGGATTATCAAAGTCTCAAATTAAAGCATCATTAAGTACAAATTATCCACAACATTCAATTAATCAAGATAAATTACACAATTTAATAATTTAATAGTTTGTGTAGTATAGGTAGAGGTGTTATTTCGTATACTATCTATTGTTATATTAATAAATTTGGTGATCAAATGTTTCTTTTTTTGGTGATCATTTCGCAATTAAATTTTTTGGGGATCGAATGTACCTTTTTTTAGTGATCATTTCGCAATAAAAAAAATTGGTGATCAAATGTATCTTTTTTGGTGATCAAAAATATTCATGCCCATTGTTGTTTGTGAATTTAATCAAAAATATTCATTTGAGATAGGTTGACGGTGGTAGACTTGTGAATCATTCTTACACAAAATATTAATCTTCTGTATTTATTTTATTTCTTCATCTATGATGTTTACCAACAATTACAGGAACATTAATGACAGTCATCACAGTTTTAGTAGTTCGTAAGAGAGAAGGTGCAAAGGAGATTTATACCCACCCATCCCACTTTCTCTTCCTCATATCCTATTCAATCAAGCATTGAGAAATAGATGGTTTTTCCTAGATCCCGTAAAGTTCCATTTGTTTGGAAAAGTGAAAGTGTCCCAACATTCAGCTTGACATGAAAAAGTCCATTGACTCACGATTTGATGTGCCTGTTGTAATATATCTTTTTGTCATTGGTTTGTTAATAATAGCATTTGAATGATCAAGTCTTATAGCATTTTCGTCTTTGTCTGACAGTTCTCATGATTGTATGAATATTATAAAATCATTTTGCCTTCTTATAAATTGCTTCTTCAATTATTTTATCGTCACGGTCACGATGATTGTAAACTTCAATTGTATATTCAACTTGTGAAACTAATAAGTTTTGTTTCATGTTGGAACATATTTAAGGTTCAATAGAAGTGGTAGAAACGCTATACTTTAAGTTGTTATTGATCTACATTTTTTAATAGCAGTCTTTATCGATCAATATTGATGATGTTGTTGGGTTCGTAAACAACATTGTTCCTTCAGTGATCTGAGATCGTAACGGTGCAGTACGGAGTTGTTACAGACATTAATTGAAAAATCATTATCTGAAATGATATAGAAAATTCATGACAACTATATAGACGAATAGAGATTATCAATGTGCTCGATAGGAGTTCTTTAAATTCACATCTAATTGCCACATCAATTAGCGAAATTCTGATCATTCAATGTTTTCAAACAATTAACATGATAATCAGAAACTTGATCCAGCGTTAAAATGACAACACATATTTAATAAGAAAAATACTCTATATATATATATTATGAACATAAAATAGATTTATCATAGTTTTGTATGAATCTTTCTCTTTCTATTTAATAGTATGATATTTATTTTAGCATTGGTGACAAAGTTTGTACACATAATTCGGATATATAATACACGAAGAAAAAGAAAGAGATCAAACATTACTCAATGTTTACAAATAGTCAACGACATGTTTGGTACATCTTCGTTGATCATTATCATTGCCTCCGTTTATATACATATATACGTGTGTCGTGCATTACACAAACCTCTATTGATTTTTGTTCTTTTCTCTGCATCGATAGAAAATGTTAAATTGGTGATGCGCAACCACGAGCAATACATATGCCTATCCATCCTCACCGTCGTTATCAGCAAGCTCGATATGAGCAACCGAATATTTTTTCATTAATATTTATTATTGATAGTTTTAAAAAATTATGGTATGATCATGTTACACCTGAAATAGCTGTATATGCTTTTAAATCTATACGTGATCTTGTATTCATGGGTATTGAATTACTTACTGAAAATACCATGATACAAGTTATATCATTGTTAGAACATAATCGTACACCACTTCGTGATTTAGCTGAAGAATACTTAAGTAGTGCAAATCGAACATTTGTTGAATTTGCTTATATTGGTGAAGATATATATCAAGTTGATACAAATACTGTTTTATTATTATGGGTTTTATATTGTTTTTTACATGGACCAACAGGATTAAAAGTTTTACAAAAAGGTGTTCGATGTTTAACTATAGCACGAGCAATTCGTGTCATTACATTTTCTTTAACTATTTTACCTAATCCAAATCCAATGTGTAATTTTACTGGACCGATTGATCCATTAAATTTAAGTCCAGGTAAATAAATTTGTTTCTTTTTTTCTATTTAAAAGTATTCTTTTAGGTGGTGCATGTAATGATTTATTATATAGTGGTCATGTTATTGTTTATACAATATCAGCATTAGCTGTGACAATTCTTTGTTCATTATATCCATTTGGACCATTCCGTTTATTAATACGTTTATTTATATGGATTCAAGTTTTTCAACGAATGATTCGTGCTGTTGTTGAATTTCATCATTATTCTGTTGATATGTTTCTTGGTTTATGTGTAACATTACTGATATGGCATGCAGATATACTTTATTATGATTTACCACGTTTACCACAACCATTATATCCACATTTAAAAAGACTTTTATTTGCATATGATGCTGACGGTTCGATTGATCTATATGCTAATGAATGTATCCTAATTTGTAAACGTTTTAAACGGCAACCTATAAAAACATTTATTAGTTTTTTTCAAGGTCACACAGTTTCTCTAGAATCAAACGCTCATTTGAAACAAATTTAAGAAAAGAAATTATGTTAAAGTTATTGTTTTTTTTTTTTTGGTTGTTTATAGACTTCGAAAAAAAAAATTGGATTCTTTTATAAATAAAGTCAGTTTTTTTGTTTAAATTATTTAATAGGCTTTTAACAGAACAAAAAAAAAATGTTAACATATTGTTATCATTTTAAATCAAGAAAATCTAATATTAGAATTTATTCGCTGATATCTTCAAGTATCAAGTCTAAGTAAAATATATGAGTAGATTTTATGACTTGAAAATCGATTTCTATCGTTCGGACGAAGTATTATGAAACTGAATAATTAATGAGATTCATTTCAGGTTATTTAGGGATCTAAAAAGTTCCCGTTAGTTGAACAATCGATTAATGAAAAAAAAAAAGGATTCCGTTGATCTGCCCATTACAAATATTTGAAGTAATTGTCACAATACTAAATACGAAGTTTCATTTTTTTAATCAATTCGTTTTATATCATTTCATGTTCAGCAAGAAATATGTAATGCGCAAGTAATGATGCTAGTGAAAATGTTGTTTATAAATAAATATTTCGTCTATCTTCAACACATTAAAAAAAAAAACGAAAGACTGTCATTAGATGACTTTGATAGGTTAATCACATATCAAAATTTTCCTACTTTAAGAAAGTCAATAACAATATATTTTGCGTATTATTCACATTGCCTTAATGGAACTTCATACGACTTGTTGGCGAGAAGAATTCTATACTTGATAAATTTTTTCTTTAATATTTAGTACAATTACAGATAATATCAACAAAAGCCTACATATGGTTAATAATGACCATCCAGCTATGATACAAATGATGGTAAACATTGGTGAGTCTTGTGTTCCTAGATAAAGAAGTACCACCCGGTTTCGACGGTAAAACATCGGAAATTAATGGAACTTGGAAACAGGATTCCGAACTGGAATGGCTCCGGCTAGAAACAGCCGCAACACATTAGAAAAAATCTCGAGAATTATCGACCTGGATTCATATCTGTTACAAATATTTGGAGAACTTTTTTGCACTTATGATAATTTTGATTTAGAGTTTTTATTTCATACGTAGATGCTAAGTTCATACATCATAGTCAATAATAATATCAAACTAAAGACGAATATAATTGTTTAATATCTACAAATTTTTTCGAGTATTATGAACGAATGTAACCATGACAATAACGAAGAATGTATATTCAATCATTCTTGTTGTACATGAGAACCAATCAACGAAATACCTTTTTCATGAATATACTTTTGCAAGTAGTAAAATGCTGTCGATTTTTCTACGTGTCTTTTCCATATTGCAATTTGATTGGATGAACAACGAGGAGGTATAAATATTTATCACGATTAAAAATAGAATAGAAGACAAAATAAATAAGTGTTTGTTTATTTACTATCGAAATTTTTTTTTAATAAATCTTTGCTTAAATTATAAAATATCTTGCAAAAGATGGATCGAGGTGCGGGAAAGAAAAGATAAAGGTAGAGATAGATAACAAAAAAAAACGTTTATTACGAATTTTTCGAAGGTTATTTCAATTCTTTTCTATTCGTATTTTATCATCAAGTAGTGACCTCATTGAAAGAAATGTTGAGGATTTAATTAAATAAATCATTTCATCATCATTTTCCCATTTTGAAGAAAATTTACATCAGGAATTTCATCATGAATAAACAAACGGTTGTAGTGTATCATAGGTGTCAGTAATAGATTGAATAAAATATGGATTTAAACCAAAATTTCGTAATAAATATTTATATTTAAAGGTAAAAATGCATTTCATTCTGCAATTTTAATTAACTTTCATGTAATGGCTGGTGCCCGTCGAGCGAAATTATATCATTCAGTAATTCAATTTTCTTTCCGTGATCTTTAAATAATCTTTTATTTTCCCATGGTAAAAATATTTTTGTCTATATATATATATTCATTATTAACTTGTTTCTTTAATTATTTTAAATAGGATTCTGATCGAGATAGTGATGATTGTGAATATGAAACAAATGAACAACGAACTAATGAACGACGTATTGAACATCAATTAGATGAATTTCTTAATAAATGGAAAAAAGAAATTCAACAGCGAACTGTCTATGGACATGTTATTAATGATAAACAAAAAGAACAAGAACAAGAAGAATCTTTTAATGTTGAAGAACAGGTAAAAAAAAAGAAATAATATATGATAAAAGTTGTTTGTAAGTTTAACATTTCATTTTCTAGGCTAAACATTTTTTTCTACGAGCATCTGATTTAGAACGTGAAGGAAAGTTATACGATGGTAAGAAAATAGTTGACATTGTTTTTTAAAATAATTTTTTGATGATTTTATTTTTAGCTATAAAATATTATCGAGCAGCTATGCAATTAGTACCAGATATTGAATTTCGTATGGCTCGAAAAGGACAACAACAACAACAACAAATGACAACAATGGATTTAAATAATCGACAGTATATAAAAATATTTTTATTGAAATCAATGATAATTAGTTTTATATAGAGAAAATATCGATGAAGATAATAATACGAATGAAGTGTCTGAGCAAGATGTTGATCTTATTGATTCTTTACAACGTATGCATATAGATGATGGTGAACTTTCAACTATATGTGCTAAAAATTTTCCTCAACAAGTGATTTTTTTTTGTTCGATTAAAATGAAAATTAATTTGTGTGTGTTTTTTTTTAATCTAGGCCACACATGTATCAAGTCTTCCATCGGAAGTATTAATTTATATATTTCGTTGGGTTGTTTCATCGGATTTAGATATTCGTTCATTAGAACAATGTGCACGTGTATGTCGAGGTTTTTATATTTGTGCACGAGATCCTCAATTATGGAAAATGATTTGTTTTAAAACATGGGGTGTTAATACAGGAAATTCATCTACAAATATTAATTGGCGTCATATGTTTATCAATAGACCACATGTTGCTTTTAATGGTAAGAAAAATCAAAATTTATGAAAACATACATTTTTGAAAATTTCGATAATCTTTCGAAAGAAATATATCAAACTTGTAGGAAAAATTCATTTGAATAAAAACAAAAAAAACCTTTTTCTACAATCGATAATAAGCTTTTGTATGATGATGATGATAGTCCAGATCTTCTTACTTAGGGCGTACCAAAAGTTCGTGTCCCGCCATTTAAAGGGCCTTGTCGGGTGGGGTACATCGGTTCAGAAATAAGAAACAAATATATCATATTGTAGACCTTTTCGAGCCGCATCGAATGGTATATAGTAAATCCTGTTTTCATAGAACTTTAAAGGACCTAGAGTCAATTTACTGATAGATGACTACACATTCACACCCGTACCTGAGGACCATAAGTTAATGTTTATTATGGTTCTTGATATTAATTGAAAGCATATGTANATGAATGCAGGTGAATGTGTAGGCGTCCACCAATAAATTGACTCTAGGTCGTTCAAAGTTCTAAGAAAACAGAATTTACTATATACCATTCGATGCGGTTCGAAAAGCTCTACAACATGATATATTTGTTTCTTATTTCTAAACTAGTTCACCCCATCCGACAAGGTCCTTTAAATGACGGGACACGAATTTTTGGTACGCCCTAAGTATACTATGGATCTGGATTAGAGTTATAGAGAATAAGGGTTAGAAAATCTTTTTCAGTCAAAATAAGAGAAAAAAAAGCTTACCTTGCAGATCTCTAATCTCGATCAAATTTTTTTGTTTCTTACAATAGCTTTTTGAGAAATTGAGAATTATAATTATTTTGTTTTAGGTGTTTATATTAGTCGAGCAACATATATTCGTCAAGGTGAACAATCTTTAGATACATTTTATTCACCATGGCATCTGGTTGAATACTATCGATATATACGATTTTTTCCTGATGGTTTGTTTTTTTTTCTACATTTAATTTAATATATTACAATTAATCTTATCTTTTTTTTTATATAGGTATTGTTTTGGTATATACAAGTGGTAAGATAAATAATAAAAATATATAGAAAAGTTATTATTTATAAATATATATATAATAGCTGATGAACCTCGTGCAACAGTTGCTCGTTTAAAAAGTCGATATTCAATTCGTGATCCGGCACTTATTTATGGAAATTATCGTTTACAAAATAATCGAGTATATAAAAATATATTATTATTAATAACAACTTGAATTTTTTCTTACATTTATATAGGTATTAATTTTAGCAAAACGTACTGCTCAACGAACTTCAACTATGACTAGTACTCAACGACGTGGTGGTAAAGATTTACAAACATCTGATATTGAACAAACAATGAATATGGTAAAAATATTTTATTAAATTATTTAATAAAATTTTTCTTTCTAGGAATTTGAAATGTGTGATGTTGGAAAGAAAAAACATCATCAACTTATATGGACACATTATGAAATTAAATTTACTAATAAGTAAGATTTTTATTATTCTTTTATGTATATATTTTGTTTTTGAATAAAATTATTTTTATATAGACGAACAGGTGATGAACGTTCGACACTACTTGATGTCGTCAATGAACGACATGCTTATCCTTCATTAATCTTTTCACGGGTAAAAAGTTATACTGTTGCAGCAGAACAATTACTCAAATAATATAACCAATCAGCCCGGTGATTTTTGCTTTCTTTTGTATATAGACCCTTTTTTTGCGTAGATAGAGTTCTGTTTGATCTCCTTTTTTAGTTGATAAATAAAGTATTCTTGCATTAAAAAAAAAAATGTTTCTCATCAATTATACATTTTTTTAAATAAAAGTAAAATGTTATTCAATTTTTCGCCATAAAGCCCAAGTAAGAGGACCTGGTTCAGCACCTGCATATGATCGATGAGAAGTAACACATTGATATTTCATACCATTATAAATGACATCATCACCTCTTTCATAAGCAATCAATAATGATGACCATGAGGATAAATTTGCATTAGTCATAGTCGTTGTCATTATTGTTGATAATACTGACCAATGTTTTGGTGATGGTACTAACCAATATTTTGTCGATTTTGATGTTAAACTGCTTGTTGTTGTCATAGTACTATAGAAATCTTATAAATTAAAAAATAGAACAATTAAGACAATCTACTTACGTTGTAGGACTAATTAAAATTGGTGGAAGAGTAGTAGTTGGACTATTAGCCACAATAATTATATCAGAACAACCCATAAATGTTTCATTTTCTCTTCCTAAACCAGGACCCGATTTATTAGTAGTAGGATCTCGACCCCAATTATTTCCTGTTGTATATTTCCATTGAAAAACACAATGTTGACAAGCAACATCTAATGGAAGTTGAACACGAACAGTAATCATGTCAGAACCATGTTGAACAATATCACGATATTTTATTGAATCTGTATTAGCAATAGTTAATAAATGACGATCAAGACATTCTTGTGTTGCATCAAAATTTGGATTATCATCTATATTACATAAACGATATTCAAAATAACCTTGATGATTTGCTGATAACTATAAAATAAAAAAAATAATTTTTATTATTGTGGTTTTTTTTTTTTTTATTTACTTTGACTTTAACATCAATCTGTTGTCCTTGAATATATGTCTTGACAATTTTGCCTGTATACATCGTTCCACCTTTTTCAAATAATTTAACTGCTCTATCATATGGTTCACCACAGATACCACATTTACCTCCTAAATAAAAGATTAAAAATGAAAAAAAAAAAAAAAAAGATACAAACCATTCGTATTCCATTGATGTCCAACCCCACCACAAAACATTTCCATATGACCAGAATAAGTACAACATTTTTTAAATGATGGATCAACAAGCCAAGCTGAACTACGTGCAACTGGTTCAAATAAATAACCATGACCATTAATTGATATTAAAAAACAAAATGAAAATAAAACGAATAGATTTAACATGTTGATGATCATCGAACAAAATGATCAAATGGTATGAACGCTAGACAAAATCATTTATCATTTTGTATAATAATCCTATTAAAGATTAAAATTTGATATCATAATCGAAATCAAGAGAGATATCAATTTCAATCGATGATAAATAATATATTCTTGAATGAGAAAAAATGCTGGTCGTAATGTTCAATATTATGAAATCATTATTTAAATATACACGAAGATTAAATCATAAGATATAAAATACACTTATGAGAATGATATTTAAATAAAAGATAAGACGAAAATAATACTTCTTGAAGTATTCGTTGAGAGCATTACTGAACTATGAGACAATATTTTCGGTAAATAATTTAACGTTTTGAACATTTAAAAATTGATTTCTCATCAGATCGACTTCAATTTTATACTGTTTTCTTAAATCATAAAAAAACGGAGCAAAATATATGTAGGATTGTAGAAAAAGACTTATTCTATCTAATATTATTGTATTATCAAGTTTTATATTGCATACTGTTAACATGTCCATAAATATTTCCATCTATTACCATTGCAGATGTGTATCGCTTGTCAGTGTTTCATCTGGACTTTCAAAACGCGCGAAATCTCATAATAACTATTTCTGAGATACTTTCTAATAATGAGAGTTGTCAAAATTTAGCATAATCCTTTTTTTTAATGAGATCATATTTAGAGATCACTGGTATTGAAATGTAAAAATTCAACATCTTTCGTTTTTTTTTTTTAGTAGTCAGTTTTCTCAATGAGAGGCTCTCAAAAGAAGTTGTATATAGTTATTGAACGACATTTGTCGAGAACGTCAAATAAATACTAGAATAAGACGTATTAGGTCAAATTTTGATTTGAGTTCGAATTGAATTATATAAGTACGGAGTTATATTAGTATAATCATTGATGATTTTCTTACTCATCCAACGCTGTCAAACATTGCATACGGTAGAAAATTTTAAAAAAAGACAAGAATAATGCGTACAACTATTTACAAACACTCTCCTCATTCATCAAACTTATCAGGATATACTTAAATTTGAAAGCAAAGAAAAGCCAGAAATACGAGTGCGTATTTCGTGATAGTTATCTTGAAGGATTTGTCTATTAGCGTTGTCACATCTACAGAAAGATTCTTTCATGCGTATGACTATTCAAATAAAACAAATGTTGTTTATTCGGATTGGAGACCCGACTGTTTCTCGAACAAATGATATAATCAGCAAAGATTAAGTAACGATTTGAGCATTTCGCCCAACAAAAAAATTATATACAAAAGATGATTTCTAATGATCAGAACGAATTCCAACAACAAATGATTCATTATCACTAAAACTTGATATTACTATAATTTTAATTGCTAAATAATAAATGTACTACATTAGTTCAACTAATTATCTACTAAGAGAGGTTAATTGTGTTCAACAGAATATGCGTTAGACTTGATAACATTCTAGTGCTAATTGGATGAATTCATCAGAGATTTTTCGTATTGGCAGGTCGTCAAGGCCACCAACAGTTGGTTGTAAAAGTGGAGAACTCCAGAATTATAACAGTGGAACCAAATTGTGGCCTACTTGACGCGAGAAGGTTGTGATCCAGTGATCTATCTTCTCTTGATCATCATTCGGATTCGGTTTAGTTTCTTCATATTGACGAAAGACAGCCTTGTAACGATCCCAACAATATTCTCGTGCAAGTTGTGCGTAGATAAAGATTACAATGTCATAATTTACTTTCCATTGATCGAAACGCGCACCTTTTTTGTATATAATCGCGCATTGTCTCTACTTTATCTTCGAGCCAAGAATGAATCCATGGCGTATAAAGTGAATATATTCACGGTTACTTCCACCGCAAAACTGACAGTTAAAAAAAGTCTTGTTTTTTTTTTCAAAAGATCCAAAGGTAATACTTACTCCACCAGTCGCGCTGAAAGTTGTGACCAATTTGGTGGAAAAGATTCCAAAAGCCTTTCTTTTCTAGAGTATCACTATTGAGTAAGAATTCTTGAGCTTCTGAAACAGATACATCCAAACCAATGACAATTGGATAGCCAACATCTAAAATGAATTGATCCTTTTTGATAATCAGGAAACTCATATTACAATCAAGTTATTCTTATGTATATTGCCATAATTTGTTTGTTTATCGCATACGATGCGTTCTCGACGTACCAGTGTAGTACTTCGCAATTCATGATGAGCAATTACTACGGAATCCCAGAGACGAAACACTTGATCTAATTGCTCGCTGTTCAAATGACGTACACTTTGTGAAGAAAGATTGAAAACAATGTATTGGTCAGCAATATCTACCGACAGAATCTGTGCGCGAACATGTAGGTCTTTCCAATGTTCTGCTCGATTCGGATTCGTGAGATCGTAGGTAGGTGTTAGAACAACATTCTGTAGGCTAAGATTAATGGAATTTGAGTAACTATTAGGACTCTGAAGAAAGAGAACACCATCAAAAGTCGAACTCATTTCGACAGTAGTACCAAACAGCGGTTCGTCGACAGTAATCTTATAGTTTCTCGTTAAATGTGATCGTACTCACCAGGAACTTTAATGCTAGATACTCCATGCAAAAGATTACACATATTGAATGTTTGCAGTAAACGTGATTTATCTTTAATCGAAGATGTTTTCGTTGGAGTAATATCTTTTCCAGCATTTAGAACTATATTTTGTAGAGTTTCAATCGGTAACACAGGCAACGTATTGCCTCTCTTATTAATTAGCGATAGAATCATAGTCAAATATTCCCAATTATTCGGCTCGCTGGTCAGTGTCTGAATAAGATTAACAATATTTTTGAATTTGAACAATTCAGGATGAAATAGAATCGAATCATCTAAATCAAGAAAAGAATCAAACAATAATTGTTTCTTTTTCCTTAACACTGTTCATTGATTCTATTTCATCGATCGATTCGAATTGTGCATTATCTTTTCCTGGAGACAACCATCGACGGCAGTTTTCAATAAAACGCTTATCTTCAGGGTTATTATCAAGAAAAGCAGTAACATAATATTTACTTCCAAATACCAAACATCGACCGTTGCCAACTCGAGCGGTGACAATGGCAATGCCTTCAGAGTATTCTCCACATGCTACAATGCGTGTATCGTTTGTCATCTAAATGAGACCTTCAACATAATCTAGTCTTCTAAGAGATGAAACATCTTGGAATAAATTTTGAGGTACTTGATCGAATTCGGTGTCCTCCATCGTCTTCTTTATTGTCTATTCAAGATATAATAATGTGCATTCAAAATGTAAACGATCTAATGTGATTATTTGCTTACCTGGTCAAGTAGTATCGATCAGAATAATTTGAATATAGACAAGAGAAAGAACACAATTACACCAATTTATATACGCTGCCTTGTAAAGCGTATCGCACATGCATTTCATTTTAACCTTATTTTTGTATAATCATATTTATTCATTTTTTCTTGTAATATCCTCTCAAAGTACGATTAATGTAGAGCGAGTCAACTTGACGAAATATAATGAATGTAGAACATAATGAATGTCACAATATATAATAAGTGGATAAACTAAGAAATCCACTCCGATATCGATATTTCACATCTTGACTACTATGCATTAATTCAAAAAAAAAATCAATTGAATACCAACACATTGAAATGATACTCTCATTAGACTCATGAGAGAACATATTTAAGTGTATCCTTGGAGAAAATGTTTAAAAGTATTCTCGCCTATAGGAGCCTTGGTGAATATCACCGATATGAAAACCTGATATGAAAGGATTGTTTTTTATCACAAATAAGCATATAAAATGTGTATGCCTGTTTTAGTATCCATCTTGACAGTTTTTGTTAAAGAGAATGAATGTCATTTCCAACTAATATTACCAGATAAGACGATGAACAAAGCAAATATATGTATTAAAAAAAGTCGTCTTCTTTCTAGTGATCCTTACATAGGAGAACTGTAAGAAAATCACCAAGAAAAGATGAAAAAAGACAATAGTTCTATCAATTATGTGTTCGTTTCTAACGCGTACTTTCACACATTAGTATAAAGAAATTTTGAAGATAAACTCTACGCAGTATACATTTTCCAAACGAATTTGGAATTTAGTTGAGAATATAATAACGTTTTTCTAATTTCCTCATAAAAAATATTATTGTTTTGGAGATATGCTGACATTGAGAGATTAATGAAATTTAAAACAAACATTTTTTTATGCTGTTTATTGGTAGATGAGCAGATGTGTCTGGTAGCGATTTTAAGGGTGCATAGCACCATACCTTTATATTATAATTATGATATCAAAGTGTAATACATTGTTGTGATCACTAATAAAATTGAAGACTAAATTCGTTTGTATATGATGTATAATTATTCCTGTTGAATTTTTGGTTGAACTTTGAGATAATGGAGTAAAAAACTGTCGAGAAAAGAATAAAGTATTTTTTATTTGCGGAGCTCCGTGTGAATTGATTTTGTGAACTCTTGTCTAAATTTATCACTTCATCAGGTTTGTAAAGCTTTAGTTCTATCATAAATTTTTTTCTATTTTTTTTCGAGCATTCTAAACTCCATTGAAATTTCCACGTCAAACTGTGACATATATTTTCTACATTCCAATGAAATTGAAATAAGTAGACATCAATAGCAGAATAATGAAGTTCGGCTTTTTTATTAAGAAATTGAACAAATAATTAGACTCTGCTTCAAACTATTGAATATGTCTATTGAATTTCAAAGCAATCGATCACGAGTACATATTGTAAGATAATTAACTTCTATGTATTTTCCCAATAATAGTCATCACGTCAAGTCACAATTTGATAATTCAAGAAAAGAACTATGACAACAATGATTTTCATTTCTTCAAAACTAAACCTTAAGAAAAACCGAATGGAAGATAATCGCCTTTGACAGCGTAATCTAAACATTGAAAATAGACAGCTCGTAAACATTTCGCTTAACAGAAAATTTCTTCACTTTTACTCTTGCATTTATTAGAATGGATTTTCATTTTCCTGTACGCATAATTTTTTCCAAAAATACGATCGATATATAATAATCGAAAAAAAAAAGATTTAATTTATAGGTTTCCACCAAGCCCAAGTCAAAATGCCCGGTTCAGCTCCTGGAAACGATGTATGATCATGAATACATTGAAACTTCGCGCCTTCATATAATACTATATCACCAGTTTTATATTGAACACCATTAGATGACCAAGTAGTTGAACCACTTGATGGACGAGAACTTGTTGTTGCTGGTCGAGCAGTTGTTGCCACTTGAGCAGTTGTTGCTGGAGGACTAAAGGGTGGTCAGAAAGTTTCGATCCCTCTCTGTAAATTGATGTTATCTACATGAATACATATGTAGATAGTTGATTGAAATATACAGTTTTGTAGAGAATGAGAAGGGCTATCATCTGAAAAAAAGATAATTGAAATTGTGTCGTAGCTATGAAAAGTTATGATCATTTTATTCATGATGACAAAGCAAAAACACGTTACATTTTTTGCAAAAACAAAANCGGAAATCTACTATAACAAAAGAAAAAAATTTTTTTTTTCAAGGTACATAACTAAATCGACTAGTAGACAGTTATCGATAAAAGCTTCACTTATAAACTTTTTGCCAATTATGGTTCAGAACTTAAAAATAAAGACTTTTGTTACTATAGAACTTCAGATAATTTTTGAGATAACTGTGAAACAGTTGTTTGATTAAAATCTTGCATAAAAGTTTGAATTTTTTTAAAAATGCATTTATACGACATGAAAGAATTTGAGACATTTGATATTTGGTAATAATTCTTCAACAAATTGGATAAAGCAATTATCTTATGAAAATCAAGTTGTTTTCTATTTTTAGATGTACAATGATTTTCAAAATGATTCGAACTGTTTTATTTTCAACAAAGGAACCTTTTAATGTACTAGAAAATCTGTTGATATTATTTCTTTGTCCATCAGTTACAGAATTATTAGAAGGAGTGCTCCGAAGTCGCCAGAATTGGAAATGGGGACACTTGAGTGCTTTTTGAAGAATTGGTGTGCAAAAAAGATTGAATAAAGTACTGAAACCTTGCTGAAAAAAAAACGGAAATTTCTCAAAATTGTAAGTGCATTATCTCTCTGATCTCTCCGCTTCAGACTTCAGTGACTATTGGACAAAGAAAACCCTAAGAAATTATAGATTCAAGTTGTAATTTGGTCGAGATATCGAGTTTTCCGTGACGAACTTTTCAATTTTTCAACAACATTATAGTTTCGAATTTCGCTCAAGAAAACTCACTAACAATTTGATAACTGTTTAAGGTGTAACTTGCGTCCATAATCTCTTCGAGTTTTTCTAGTCTAATTGTTCTCTAACTGGTAGAGAAAATACCAGCGCAGCCCTTTCACAGCTAGAATTTGGAACACCCGTAAAGTAAAAAGTCTCTAGTAGTCAATAGTCGCTTTTCAAGGATAATCGAATGGCAGAGAAACGACCTATCTTATTTATTTCTGCATTTTAAACAGATATTTTTACGGTGCAAAGCATTGTATAGTAATCGTTCGTGATTTTTTTTTACTTTCTTGACCCACTACTCGAGTTGCTAGTTTGCGTCGCAATGATCTAAAGATCGGAGAGTCGTGCAATTTTCATTGAACCGTGGTTAGAAAGCTCCATATTCGTATATGATCAATATGACAAGACAATGCAAACGAGTTTCAACAGCGGTAATGATTAGATCGAATATTGGTGCCATCTTTCGTAGTTTTCGTTTTATCGATGGCCCGTGATAAAATTTTAAAATATGAATGAAGAAGACAAATAACAAAATCAATAACTCTGCTTTTTATTCTATATGGTCTAATCAGAAATGAAGATCTTAGCATATGTGTAAGATAAGTTATATCAAGTATGCTTTATAATTGTCATGAATCATTTTGTAGTGAACAGAAAAGCACAATCAATGAATTTTGTTTTTTATTTTCATGTAACATTGAGATTAGGCATAGAATATCAATGAAGTAATGTATTCGTATTTAATATTGAGAACAAAACAAAAATAAACAGATACGAAAAAAATATTCATTTTTTTACAATTTCATTTAATTTTTCGTTTTTCCAATAGCAAGGATAAATATTTTATATTTGTGTTTTGTAATTTACATTCTTATCAAGATGCCCAAGCAGACACAAAAAAGCATACAATGGGGTCGACGAGTGGTCGAAAATTCGAAATATACATTTTTTTCGTTCTGTTTCTGTTTCGAGCCCCTCAATACCCGTCGAATTTCGAGCGCTCGAAAAGTGTATCATATCAGATACTCATTTTCGACTACTCGAACACAGTTCGACCGTTCGACACTCCTCGAAGTTCCGAGTGCTCAGTGAAAGAATACATATCGAAAGAATGCTTTAAATTCCTCGGACATTCTTCAAACATTTGAAACCTATCTGAGAATCGACCCCCTGAGAAAAAAGAAACATATCGGCAGAATAGTTTCGAATGTTTCGATAGAGACAACCTCATTCTAATACAGGTCTTGGGTAGGGTGTGGGTGGGTGCCTGTAATGGGGGTCTACATTGCTAGGTGTCTGTAAGGGGAGGGGGGAACCGCCAAACCTTGAACTGAAAACTTACACTCACTATTTTCTTCGAAAATCTACGTGAGTTCCACAAAATATATCGAACCAAGTTTATGCTGTACATCAGAATGATTAAGTAATTCAGGTAGACATTGCGATACATGTGATTCAAGTATAACTTGTTTTAATTGATAAAATACAGCTGAATCTTCTTTTATTGTTTACCTTGAGTTGTATTAGCCATATCATAAGTTAATATAAGTGAAACATCTTTTATATCAATAACGCGATCGGCAACATATGTTGCAACAAGAATTTTTTTTGACCTTGTTCACCCTAATAGAAATAAGCAAGAAAGAATACAATTATTTTGTTTTAAAAAAATTCAAGAATTTCAAGTAATTTATTACGTGTATCATTTTCTGAACACTTAATGATAACTTACTCAACACGTTCAGCTGATTTACCAAATCAACCAATATAAACAGATGTTAAACGTTCGATAACTGATGTCATTGTTTTTGTAAACATAACTGTTTGACGATATTTATCTTTCCAAGCAAAATCTCTTAGCATAAAAGAAAGAAAAATGTTCCTGTTTTTTGTTATCTTGTATCATCTACAAGTTCCTTATCTGTTTTTTTATTTGTGACTGCTAAACATTTAAGAATACATTTAACACCAAGAGTTCTTCAAAGAAAGTCTTTTCTATCCCTTTCATTAACAAGACAATCATTGTATCTATCAACTGTTGATAGTGATCGAATTCAAGCAAGTAAAGGTATAACTGAAAAATCTCTGTTAGATTATTGTTGTTTTCTAAGGATAACCGACCGACAGGAAAACGTTCGGCCTTATTAATTTTTGCATTTCGAACAGAAACTTTTCTTCTTTCCACTGACGCTCTACATTTCTGTTGTTTGTCTTATTGCTCTTCACTTTCATGTTCCGTTTTTTATTACAGTTTTAAACATTGATTTAACTAGTAAGAAAAGTCTGTTGTATGTATCCACTAAAGTTATAAAATGATCAATTCACTCTTTTTAGGCAAATCAATGAGCCATTACCTATTATCCTTTACATCTGGAATTTAAATCTTCATGTTCACCAATAATAGAAAAGCTGAACTATTTAAAATATTCACAAACGTATTCCAGTCATTCAAATATTGAGGAAGGCTTTAAAATGTTTTAGAATAGTCTAAGTCCTGTCGTTACTAGGAACAACATGTTAGTTGATCACTGACATTTAAATCTGGTCGCTAACATCCAAGAGGAGAGCCGCAAAAATCTCGATTTAAACCTACATTGAATATTTTCTTTGAAAATAAATGTAAGTCCCACAACACAAAGTTTTATTTCACTTTAGAAAATTAGAATTACCTTACAAACCAGCAGTTTTAGTAACTTGAAGAATGCCTTTTTCAAGTTCAGCATCATCCCATGATCGCAATCGATGTAGAATATTTGCATCAATGACATTCATCATGATAATGTTTTTCGTCCTTTTCTCGATCAGATTAAAAACAAGCCCTAAAAAGTACTATTCGTTTTCTTTGATATTGATAATTTACGGTACTCGATCTTTTTTTCTTTGTGTACATCGCTTCTCAAGTAAGTCACCACAAAACTTGGATTGTTCTTTTTTTATTAATATCAATACCAAGCATATGATCAGGACCAAAAATTGTATCTGCTGTTTTTCTTTATAGATTGGATTATAATCAATGAAAGAACAAAAATAATGTAAATAAGAAGAATAAAATATACATCAAGAATTATTTGAAGTACTTCGTCGACCTGCTCGATCATCTTTTGTAGCTGTTTGTTCAGCTTCTACTTGTCGTCGCCGTAATGCTACAGCTTCACGTTCTTCTTTCGTTACAAACTTGGGACTGAAGAAAAAAGTTGATTAATACATAAAAATAATTTCTAGTCATCAATGCATCATGTCTAATAATTATTAACATAGACATTGTTAAATATTGAACTAGAGATATGTGTTGCTTCGTGTTATTACTAGCAAAAAGAACGATAAATAAAGAGGGAGCTACCCGAATGTGCTCATTAGAGTCTACAGATTCCAAAAAAAATTTACTAGTAACAGGGAGACTGATCAGATGTTACATAAACAAAAACCAGAGAAATCAATTTATCATTGTAGCAACAATAAGCTATGCGCATTTTGCACATTCGGATGGTAAGAGAAGTCAAAAATAGCTAAAAGTATTAAACGAGCTTTTTGCCATAAAAGATAGGGTTCCGTCTGAAGAATCATTTTTTCCAAACGAAAAACGTTACAGGTTCTTCAGTGGTGTTCTGTCGTAGTAAGAAATCAAACAAAATATTATATTTTAAAGCTGATTCTTCTAAAAATGACCTTCACGAAATATAGTAAAATTGTTCTAGCTTTAACTAAGAACGAGACTTTGAAGTTAAAATTTCTCTTCTTGTGTAACTATGCACCTAAAATTACTACAAAAGGTTTCAGCTCAGTATAATGCTTTATTAACGAAAAGATTATGCACATGAAAAGTAGTCATGATTTTCTCATGCTTTCTCTTTGTTGTTTTATCTTTCGACGTTGTTTTTCAAAAATAATATATATTAACAATCTCAAAAAAAGAAAACGAAATATAATTTACGAATTTCAAGACAAAACTATTGCCTCAGTTATATGGTATACTATTATTAGACCACCGTTTTCAAAAATACTTTTACGAACCGAAATTAGAACCATTTGTTTTTCATTTTTACTAATCGAAGTCGGAATTGAACTGGCGATTCCGATTCCGGATATTTTTTGAAACCACTGGGCTCTAGTGCTCATGGATATCTAAAGCCAAGTTATAACCGTTTCAGTGAATCTTCGATCCATTTTTAAGTCTACTTTGGTCGAAAAACAAGGTGTCGAAAGATAAAAATGCCGACTTATATAAATATTGAGGGTTTGATGTGGGTGAATAGAAGACTCCAGTACCCTTATCTACATTGATACACGCATTTGCTAGAGTAAATCTCTGTGACAATCAACTTTTTATTGAAAATTCAATATTTTTGTCGACAAATGAACATTCTTTACTGCTGAAACTATCAGGATATTCTCCAAACTACTAAATAATATCTATGAGCTGAATTTTACACTGACTTATTGAGCTTTGTTTTCTTTCTCATATATGTTTTATGATATTTCATTATAGTCTTTTTATAGTGAATTCTGAAAGTACTGAAACATGAGATGATGTGTTGAATTTTGAAATTGCTTCTTGTTCTTCTTTTTATCTTGTATTTTCAATAATTTTTTCTAAAGAAAGTGGTACGTATTTTGTTGTATTTTTGTTAATTAGTAGCTTCATTATTCTTTGTCGTTGTTGCTATTGTTTCATGAACTGTTGATTCTCTTTCTTCAATATTATCATCAATCAGTCAAACCGCATACTCAGGTGATTTTAATCGTTTAGGTAATGAATATCAATGTTTCTTTTTTCATTTCTATAACGATGTAATCGATGAAGACCATATTCTCCATAAAATTAAATTCGATAATCATTTCAAAAATATATTTAAGAAATATTCCTTTCTTTATTTGACCAGATAAAGCTGTATCTAATATTTTATTTAAAAGATCTTTTCTAGGATTTTGTTCAATAAGATTATATGGTAAAAATGCTTGATCAATGGATGAATGATTATCATTTTGATTTGTCCAAATTGTAAAATAAGAATCCATCTAGAAATAAATCATTCCTTTTTGTTTAATCAGTACCTTTAGGAAAAGAGAAATTAAAATATTAAAATCTGAACCTTTTTTTAATCCTTCTTACAGAAATATTTTTCACCAAAATGATTCGCTGCAACTGTATTAATTTCTGAAAACAAATAATTGTTATACCAGGATAAAGTTCACAAATATGTTTAATTTCATCAGGTGTAGAAAATGATGTTATTGAAATCATATTTGATTGTTTACATTGATATTCTTTAACTAATACTTGAAGACCAGTATGAACTCTTGAATCTATTGTTATGACTGGATAAGTAACAAGAAGACAATGTCGATGAACATCGAATGGTAACTTAGCATATATAGCATGATCTCAATTGATCAAAATTTTATCAATTCTTATAGATCTATGAAATTGCGAATGAGATCTGTCACAATTAAACTATAACTGATATGTTCCGCAACATATATCAACCAATTCAGTATGGATAAACGTGCAATATGAGTGGATGTTTCAATCTCGATTAGGATTTCATTTAGCTAATGATTTTAATGTAACTTTGACAAATAAGAAATGTCAAGCGAGAAAAAAACAGATTTTAGTGAATTCTGCTAGATTGGAAGAACCTCTGAATATGTAGGATTTTTTAAAGGATTAATATATATATATATCAGAAAGTTATTCAAATTTTTGTACCTCAGTATGCATTGAATGACACAAATTGAAGTCAAGAGTTTCATGCACACCCTTATATCAATTTCGTCCTTTTTCATTTGCATCATTGTGGACTAGCTCATGCTTTTATTTTAAATTTATTTTAGAAGTCAAAAAGAAACTAAAACAATTATCTTATGCTTCTAGTCATCAATGCTAATAGTTAAGTTTCTCTTGACTCAATCCAATTCAAAAAAATATACAATTCATTTCCATTTTTTTTTTATATTAAAATCAATTTTCTGTGCTTATGTTTAAAAGTCCTGGAAATAAGAACTGAACATCTCCTGCTAATTCATTCAAAAATTAAGAATACATTAATGACAACAAAGAGAACATATCCGAGATAAAAATCACCAATAGTTGTTATCATCTATTGTCAACATGAATTAATTCAATTATTGTTTGTTTTGTTATACGAAAAAAGATTTGAAAGGAAACCTTGAACAATTTCAAATTCATAGGTACATGATATTGAATAAATTCTGCATTTATTCTTGGTCTGTTTAACGGCAATTTATGAAATTTTGATTTGTACAAGACAGCATAATATCAGTCTGAACTTATGAGAATATTTCTTCTGCCTAATTCCCCTTTTGATTTCAATGATTTATTGTTCATAGATAAAATTTTAGTTCCTATTGAGATTTGACTAAACTATTAAGTTTTTAATATGTCTATCATCAGAAGGAAGGAATAGCCATGGTTTTCAGCTAACTTGCGGCAGATTCACTTGTTCGATATTTTCCTGACAACTCTGACTAGCTGTAGCTCTGACCTCTTAGAGATATGAGACTTTCAAGATCTAGACTTTTTTTCATCGATAATATATATAAAACATGCATTTTTTGAAAAATTCATATCTCCAAGAGAGTTTGTTCAAAGCTTGAGATTTTTTTGTCCAAGGTAGTCTAGTTGAGTTCTCTATATGTGCCAAGTTTCAGATCAAAATTCGAAAATTCAAGGTTTTCAATTATTCAAGTTAATTTTGCATCCTGATGTTTTCTTTGTTTTTTGTCAAAGAAAGATAATTTCAAAATTTCTCTACTCTTATTTTCGACTATTCATAAATCTTCAATAACTTGACAAGAAGACCATCACATTTTGATTGAATTCATATGATTCTTTTTTTTTTACCTGCAACATTGAAGAATGCTTGTTTTCATGTCTTAAACCTTGAAAACAATATCCACTTGGAGTTTTAACAGTTAAATTTGTAAGACAATCAGCATAAAATTTAAAATCAATTTGAAATGTTATACAATAACATAAAAGTGTATGAAGTTTATTTTTTCTACTTTAGTCATCTATAAAAAGAATTCAACGATAGCAAAAAGTAAATTTTCGAAAGAACTTCTTTTAATTTGTTCTGTTGTCCATTAATTGTTACAACAATATTTAGACTTTTAGTGCAATTTCTATGTTCACATAAATGCGTTTCTGGTCAAGTACTAAAAATTAAGAGTTCTGGTGTAATAGAAATATTAATTGATGAACCAAGTATTGAATATTTTGCGTGTGCCAGCATATAATCTTTACCTTCATCTAAATGTTTATAAGAATTATTTTTCTGTACAAGTTTATTAAGTATTGTTTTCACATCAGCACGTACATCAGGTATAGTATTTTTATTCATCAATAATGATACTCTTGGATCTTGAAGAAAAAAATTCATTAAACTAATTTCATTTTGTTTTGTTTCAGGTGTATGTTGGAAAGTTTCGTTTGTTACTAAAAAAAATCACTTATTTTGCTGATAATGTTAGAACTTTTTGGTGTCATGTTATCTAGAAATTAAAGATAAACTTATAGAATTTCGCCTAGAAAAGAAAACCTGCTTCATACGAGCATCAAGACGATCATAATAATCAAATATAGCGGATTTATCAAAAAAAAATTAGAACTGTTGGAATGTTATTCATAAATCATTAAAGCAGTTTACAAAGCTCGTCGATCGGTAAGAACATGTTCAATCGAACTGAAATCAGTAACTGCAAGAACTTTAAATAAAAAACATAGAAAAAATTTTGCTTTACGAAATATACTAAAATATCTTTTCATTCTACAGTAATAAAGCATTACTTGAATAATCTTTTGGATTTGCAAAATTTTTATGAACATATTTCATTAATATATCACGCAATGGAACAAGTATGAATTGACAGCATCTGGAATTTCATTTGGTTTTATTTTCATCATTGTTAACAATACGATATGAACTGCTTTTTTCCATAAAAAAATATTTATTTAATTAAAATTATTTGTATTATCGAGCAGAGGCGGCGGAGCGATTCTAATCTAGGGGAGGCTCAAAACTTCTCAGAAACGATAGAAAGGTGATGTTCGGGGAGGGATATTTTCTAGCTTTTCCACTTTAACTTTTATCAAGGGATATCGGATGTCTCAATGTGTTTTTGAACAGCATCTATTTGACATATATACCCTTCTATAGGCGACTGATATAATTTAGGAGCGTTGTCGAAAGATGTCCTATGGAAGTTGAGAATTCTTCATGGTTTTTTTTTTTGGAATTTCCAGGATTCATTTTAATTAAAAAATGTCTCTATTTCATAGCATAGAACATAATATAACTTTACTAAAAAAAATCCATGATTTGCAAGAATAAGCGTTCATCTTTCAGCTGTTCTTCATCTGAAGTCTTGCGTACTTTTATCTTCGGTGTTATATGCCCGTGTTTGCCTCCATTTCGTTCAGTTGACGATGAAAGAAGTATTTAAGTACAGAAACTTTCAGAAAAGTTTCGAAAAAATGAAATATAGACGCTGATGTTGAATTCTCTACAACAATGCATCACAACGTCTTGTCCACCTGTCCTGATGAGTTCCTTGAAGAGTGAAAGATAGGATATATAAAACATTGCTATGTCGTATCATGTTGAAAGTAATAAAAATATTTGTCATACATATTTTTTCACACAAAAATCTTGAAAACTTGAATCTGTTTTTAAAGAAGCAAAATGTTCTCTTGAGTTGTCTTAATTGNATAAAATGATCATAACTTTTCATAGCTACGACATAATTTCAATCATCTTTTTTTCAGATGATAGCCCTTCTCATTCTCTACAAAACTGTATATTTCAATCAACTATCTACATATGTATTCATGTAGATAACATCAATTTACAGAGAGGGATCGAAACTTTCTGACCATCCTTTAGAATAATAATCGTTTTTTTTTGCTTCCTAAACAGAGAAACATATGACTTTTGATTTACCCTGTTGATACAATTATAGGAGGTATTGTTTGAGTAGGTGAACCATTATCAACAATCGAAATATCTGAACAACCCATGAATGTTTCATTTTCAATACCCATTCCAAGACCTGATTGACCAGTTACAGGATCTGTACCCCAACTATTTCCTGTTGTATATTTCCATTGAAAAACACAATGTCGACAGGCAACATCCGATGGAAGCTGAACACGAACAGTAATTGCTTGTGAACCATATTTATCAACATCACGAAATCTAGTTGAATCTGTACCAGCAATTTTCAATAGACGACGATCAAGACATTCTTGTGTTGCATCAGAATTTGGATTATTATCCAAATTACATAAACGAAATTCAAAATAACCTTTATGATTAGCTGTTAACTATCACAACACAACAATTAAATACTTAATTTTATATGTATTGCAAAAACGAAACTTACTACTACGGTTACATCGATTTGTTGTCCTTGAGTATATGTCTTGACAATTTTACCTGTATACATAGCTCCACCTTTTTCAAATAATTTAACTGGTCTATCGTATGGTTCACCGCAGATACTACATTTACCTCCTATGATAGATATATAAATTTATTTCAATGATTTAAAATCAACAAACCATGAACATTCCATTGATGTTGAGTACCACCACAAAACATTTCCATATGATTATTATAAGTACAACATTGTTTAAACGATTGATCAACAAGCCAAGCTGAACTACGAGCTACTGGATCTGATAGATAACCATGACCATAAATTGATACAAAACAAGATATAAAAATGTACAGTAAACCTAACTTTGTATTCATATTTATTCAATAAATATAATCGATTGTAGATGGGTCTTTTATAGGAAATAATTTTCCTTTCTATTTATAGTGATGATTCTTTTTAAAAAGAAAAACAATGCTTATCATATACATCTTTTCGTATCAGCCTAGAAATGAATGCACTACGTGAGAATAAAGCAGATGACTAGTAAAAACAACAATAACAATAATCATTATATTGAGTATTATATCACCATCGAAAAAAATCAAAATTTCAGTGATGTACATTTTTATTGAATGAATATTTAGAAAGTTTTTATGATAAAATCCGTTTTTTCTTTATTGAAAGTTATATTAGTAATTGGTCCTTGAAACCAATATTTTGCTGATAAAAAATAAGCACATCCAGCACATATAATTACACTTCCAACACCAACTGATGCATAATTCATTGTAATAGCAGTAACTGGATAAATTGGCGGAAGAACAAAAAGAACAATAATAAGACAAATCCAAAGAAGTGCAATTATATTAATAAATGTTGAAAATATTCCAAGATGAAATGGACCACGAAGAAATGCATTCGGATAAAGAAGTTTACACACAATAGGCAAAATATATGATATATATAAACAAATAGTAGATAGATTTGTAATAGCCACAAAAGCAATTGTATTACCTAGATAAGGAAGTGTAAGAAGAAATGCAATAAAACATGATAACCAAACAGCATTAAGTGGACATGATATACGAGGATGAATTGTATGCCACCAACGAGAACCGGGCTATAAGAAAAAAAAAAAAAGAAGAAAAGTTTTATTTTTTTTTTTTTTGCAATGTATTTATTTTGTTTATCAGTGAAAAATTAACGACAGAAATTTATCAAATTATGTAAGTTAAGACTGATAGTCAGATAATATTAAGTAATGTATCTTATTTATGGAAAAAAAATTAGCGAAAACGGGACGTATCTCTGTTGCATTGGACGTTAACTCTTTATGAGGGCTATTTTTCTGAGTAAGTTCTTTTAGCATAGGAATATGTAAAAATGTTAGCTCTTTCAACTGACTAGTCATTAAAATAATCAACTAAAAAGCAATTCGCCAATATCTCTCTAACCATATGGAAAAAAAATTCGAAAACTTCAGGATTGACTATGACATGAACTACATCTATGGTGAAATTTTCAGAAAGATTAGTTTTCAGAAAACTGATTTTCTAGAAGTCTGATCTTCTCTAAGCATGAGAACTTTCGTTTTTCTATCATCTAACGATCTACAGAGAAGGATTTCTATCATTTAGAATCGATCTTTAGACTTCTTATTCAACTATAAGAAGACTTTTCCTTTCTCTATTCGTATTGAGTCACATTTCTAACAATGAATACAATTCATTTTTTGAAAAACCTATACATATTCAACAAAAATCTTTGCGTTGATATTTAGTAACCTAAAGAGTACGATACATAAAAGCTAAAAGCAATACACAAGTTTAGATATATAGGTATTTTTTTTGCGAAATAACGTCTCATCAGCAGATGAAATTGTTCATACGACTATGTGATTACCATAGCATTATCACGACTAAAAGCATAAATCATTCTTGAATTTGTTGTTACTGAAGTTAAACCACAAAACCAACATGCTATTAAAAGTAGACACATAAAAAATAATGTTAACTCTTTATTAAAATTATCAAGTAAAATTTGTATTATTGGAAAACCAGTTGATGTTCTTATTGTAGCTTCATAATCATGTATACCAAAGAAAAATGCAATAAGAAAAAGCCATCCAATAATCGTAGATACTAATATAGCACTAATCATACCCCATGGACTAGCTTTATCAGCATTTTTAGTTTCTTCTGTCATATGAGCTGATGCATCATAACCGGTAAGAACATATTGAGCTGGTAAAAGACCAATTAAAATAACATAAATCTTTAAAAAAAAAGGAATATAACAAAAAACAAGAAAATTAATTTACTTTATTTGTCCATCCAGTTTCATTTTTAAATTCTGTAAAAACAAATTTAAGTGATTGATGACCTGGTTTAGCACTAATAAGAAGTGCTAACGAAACAATAATCGGTGCTAATAGTTGCCACCATGTTGATATATATGTTAACCAAGAAAGAAAATGTATTCCTAATGAATTACATATTCCATGGCTTATTATGATTACGAGATGTATAAGAATAATATGATATGGTTCAGGTGACCATTGAAAATTTAAACTTAATGAAATAACACTTGCTATCAACATAGATAGACCAAAATCAATGGTAGCTATTATAGCAAATTGTCCAATTAAATTAAACCATCCAGTAAACCAACTTGCTAATGCTTTATGTCGTTGTGGTACAAGTATACCTGTCCAATAATAAAGAGCACCTGATGTTGGATAAGCTGAACATATTTCTGCCATACCAAAACCAACAAAAAGAGTAAAAAAACAAACTACAATCCATCCCCATATCATAACAACTGGGCCACCTGTTGTCATACCATATGAAAATAATGATGTAAAACCAGATGTAATACTAATAACTGATAATGACATTCCATAATTAGTTAAACGAGTAAAACCTCGTCTTAATTCTTGTTTATAACCAAGAGATTGAAGGCGAAGAGTATCGGAATCAATTGTATTTAAAATCATCTTTACTAATGTACTGCCGTTTGTTAACCTACATATATATGTGCATTCAAGTAGAACGGTGAAAATGACATGTTTATTGACCTTTGATCATTCGAAAGAACGAAAAGAATTTTATATGTTCAAAATAATAGTCTTTTTTATCTTTCATTTTATTCAACGAAAGTTATTATTGAAAATATCATTCATCATTTTTAAATTTCTTTCTTTCAATGATCATGAAGCAAACCATTCAAGTTGATCAACCTTTAATGTGCATGACAATATTGTTTATGATTACAGAGATTAGCTACAAAAATAAACGAGATCATATTACTGATATCTACCGATACAGACTCATCAAAGGATATTTCTTTTCATTAAAATTTCATTAATATGCCTGATCGGTAGATAATCAATTAGTAGAAGAATAAGCGAACAGTAGCAAAAAATAACCAGTAAAAACAAAAACAATGAATGTGTTGAATTACATGCTAAGGATGAAATATAAATGAATTAAAATAAAATTATTATAGTCACAATGGTATACAATAGTTCATTCAGTTTAATATGCTATAGAGCGTCTTGAATTTCTGAACAACAGTTCATCAGAAATACTTGAAACCTTGAGCATAGATAGATCTCGATAAGTAGAGTACAACGCTGTAATAGACTCCAAATTCTCAAATATTTCTTTCCAGGAAATATTTGAATTGCAAAGGCTAAAAAACGCTCCATTTTCTCAGCCGTAATATAAACTCGATAAAACTAGAATTTTGTTTACAGATATTAGATACTCTTTATAGTGCTTATTTCTGTTGCTTTTCTTGGTCTTCTTCCATTTGAATAAAAAGAAGATCAAAATACTGAGCGTAGCTTCAAAAATACATGTTTTTTTTTGTGAAATCTGCCCACACCAACTAACAACGAAGATACACCAAGAATTTTTGATTTTAATATCCGAAAAGAAAGGAGATGCTATTAATATAGTGAAAATCTTATACATTAGTTCTTCAATAAATCGAAAAAAAAGATTAAAAACTCTAGTTCCATTAGTCGAAGATTATTTATATTTTTTTTTCTACGAAAAGTTAAGCACTCTGCTTTCGTTCAAAAAAGCTGATTTCCATCAAATTTATCAGAGTGAAAATAAATGCATGAGAAGATAGGTGTTTTTTGTTTGAAAAAGTTTGTCGATGTATTGAATTCTTTATCCTTTTTCTCCACATATAAAAAGTCGGCATTTAAAAAAAAAGAAAACCTATAGAATGAGAGCTCACAGAAAATTTCGCATTGTCGAATGAATTATTTTTTACCCTTGTTTGTTCTAAATTGTAAAAGAGAGAAGTCAGCAACATTGATTTTGGTTTATGAATTACTGCCTATTATTAATCCATGTCAATGTGATCGAAAGTCAATGGCAAAGTCTCTTAAAGTTAACTGCAATTGATATTAATCGTACGATAGACTTCGGTCACGCGACTATTAAAGTATTTGTCGTGGCCTATTAGAAAGGAGAATCATTGCTAAGATGTCCATTACGTGTGTGTAGGATGCAAATATCTACGCCTATACTTTAACATTCCTTTTCGACTATGTTTCACAAAATCTTGTTGATATTTATTATCGAGAACAAAGGTCAGGAATTTGCTTTATCAGTACAAAAGAGGTAAAAGAATATAGAGTAAATCTGTGAATAAGATATCACAAGAGCAAAAAGGCAAAGCCGATATTTACTAACGCAACCATTTTTTTTTTCAATAAAACTAAAAATAAATTTTTAAATTAAACCACTGAATATATTTCAGCAAAATACTATAGCATGTTCTATTAATCAATATAGACATTAGAATTGTGAATAGGTTGCATAATAACAATTGAGTATTTCTTATTGGTTAAAGTAAGCACTATAGAAAAAAATTCAATGAGACCTCAAACACTTAAAATATTGTTTTCTACTTGTAATATTTTTTATTATAAGAAAAAGAAAAAAACGTTTTTTTCCAGTAATGAAGAAAAACTTTTAAAATTTCCTTATTGATCTAAATGAATTTAAACAAATAATTCTGTAAGAAATAAAAAGGTACATAAATCCTATTTGCAAACATAAATTTTCTTCAATTATGACCGATTACATCGTTATATAAACATGTTTATAGAACAGGTTATTGTGCATTCTACATCGGAAAACAATAGAATAAATAATACTTTTTCTTATTCTTCCGTCATATGAAAAAAAAAAAAGAGAAACAGAAAAAAAAAATTATTTCTCTCATCTATTCAACGAGAAATTGTTATTTTACCATTTTAAAGAAAGACTACAAGTGTTTATAATGATTATGATGATAATGATATATTTTCTTTTTGGTAATAAAATATTTTTTTATAGTCATTAAATTCGAGTAATTTTCTATTTAGGATTGATTAAACATACATCATCAATTCAATGTTACATATGTATTGACTCAGGTTCCTACTGTCCTATGCCATTCGATCTTGATGCTGGTGATGAAAGTAATGAAAATAATGTCGTAACTGCTGATTATGATGCTGATTATGCTTGTCTGGTACAAATATAAAATAAACGAAAGACATAAATTTATTTTCATTTATTTAGAGTGATCAATCTTTCGATGCAGAAACTGGCGAAGAAAAATTAATTTTACGTGGAGTTAAATATTGTGAAGAATTAAATATACCAAATCATCGTATTCATTGCTGTTATACAGATAATTGTAACAAACAATTACCAAAAATGATAACTCTATCATTAGCAGATATTATGCCAATGGAAACAAAACTGGCATCAAATAATCAACGTCATATATCATCGATAATACTCATTATTTTAAACATGTTTTTTTCAATATTTTTATTAAATTAAATATCAATTAAATTATGATTAGTTTTTATTTTTCATTTTTTTCCTATACTTACTGAATATTTGATCATATATATTTATTCAATGTTTACTTTTTGATTGATTAATTATTTAATTAATATGATTATGTCGTTGTCCTATAGTGAAAAAATATTTTTCAATGCTCACAGCAAGTTTTATGTCTTGCACTTTGATATTTATTTTCAGTTGAAGGAATGATTTCTATGTGATATTTTAATATAACAGAAGCATATAGTACTATTTTGTCCAATATCTATGACATCGATCGCTAATTAGATATATGACATAAAAGATAGTATTTTCATGACATTTGCCCTTGACATATTGATGGTACATGAATCGCACAAAAGGGAAATTCTTTGCTCATTATGATTAGATCAAAAACTTAAAAAGTTCTAAGATATTCGTAATAGCGCGTATTTGCCGTTTGAAATCTTTTCATGAAGAAATTTAACTTTTCAAGTCTGAAAGTAGATGTCTTTGTTGACAAAAACACGAAGATTTCTACAGAGTTAGATAACAAAGAACAGGCTTTGCAATGAAAAATATCTTTGATTTTAATTGAATTTTGCTACAAAAAAAATTTATAAATACTTTGTGTTGTTATTTTAAAATTTATTGACGCTTTTTATTCATTCAATTCCTTTTCTCCTAGCTAAATTTAAAACAAATCAACTACTTATTCTCCACCTACACTATCCTGCTGTTTTTCTAATGACTTTTTTTTCTTATAAATAAAATAAAGTTTTTCATTTTTCACATTATATTATATGCGTATCATTATCATCGATTTTTATTAAGCATCAATGACAACATCACAAGCTGTAAGTTTACTGTTTTTTTTTGTTTTGTTCATATTGATTATTTTTCATCTTTTAAATTTAATGTCTTCAGCCTAATTCAAAACCTTCATGGAATTCTTCAACTGGAGCTCAGCCAACAAGAACAACACGTTCTGTTTTTCTTGATAATAATCGACCAGTTGAAAATAATGTTCCACGTCAAATATTTCCCGCTGCATCTACAATTTATCCTTTAACTAATACAGACGTTACGACGCCTGTTAAAGTTGTACGTCTACCAACAACTATACTTGAAGGACCATCAAACGCATCGTCTTTTTATATTCAATATCCACAACAAACACATCCAGCAAATACAAGAGTAATTCGTACAGATCCCCAAGGTAAATTATAAAGCATATGGTTTGCTTTTTGTGTATTTTCTACACAGTTTATTTCATTTAAATAAATCAACAAAGAAACAAAATAAATTGCTTTTTTAGTTGTTGTACTCGAATCACATCCAAGTGAACAATCATTATTGAATTATCCTCAACAAATTAATAAATATCAAACAAGATATTATCCAGATACAGAAGTTTTACTTAACCAATCGGTAAGAGGTTATTTTTGATTTTATGAACGATGATTCTGATTGTAATCATTATTGTTTTAACAAAATGAAGATTATTTTGAGAATTAACGTAAAAAAACAAATCTAATTTAGAGAAAAGAAAAACATGACATCGAGTTATCTACACTTTTCTATACAAAATAAACAAAACCAATCAAAACAGTCGCTATTTAATTGTTAATACGTTTCTTTCTTCTATAATAACTAATACTCCCCCTCCCCCGCTCTCCATACATACAGAATAGTAGCCTACTGGGCTTCTAATTCGTTTTGCACGTCAAAATTTTTGGGATGGGTTGTAATTGAAATCACCATTTTTGTGTTGTAGCTATGATTTGATTTGCTTACAAGCACAGAGATGTACAAGGTTTCGATAAATTTGGAGTTTTCAAGCTGTATGAGAACTCTCATGACAGAAATATAATGCANATATGACAAACGAGAATAATATTTATGAAAGTTAACTTATCGTACTTTCTTTTCAAGTACTAAAACCATTCTCATCAATCTTCATTTCTAATAATTTAACCGTGACAATAAAAATCCATTTTAGTACTAAATATATTCGTTGGAAAACAATAGTCTACATGAAAAAGTATTGTTTGAACTTGGAAATCGAATATATAAATTATACAGTGTACTTGCCATACTAATAAAAGTTCGTTTGCTGCTCGCAATCATTCTTTCTACAAACTATTATTAAACCATTATCAGTAATATCACTCATTGTAACTAGTGTACCCTTCGATTGACTTTATATTTTCTTCTATGAAGGGTATAGGTGGGCTATGAAGAAAATTCACATTCACATCCACTCAGAATTTATTTAAAATTGCTTAAAAGTTGTGGTTCATCATTCAACAGTCTTCTGATATTTTAATATGGATATAATCGGGGTACAGTAAGAAACTTGCTCGTATTTTCTTAGCTAGTTCGACAAATCACGAAAAAGCTGCTTTCTCATGGCCTTTTGGTCTGCAGACAAATAATTGAATGTTCGAGGCAGTCTAAAAGTTTATATGGCATACTGGCTTACAATTTTTGTATGATCTATGATTTAAATAAAATGCTCCTCGCAAAGAAAAGAGCAAAGACTCTGCACTTTAGGCGTCTGATAGACGATGTCAAATTTTCTCTATAGAAACTTATAGATAGATATGTAAAGTTTAGTATTATGATTAGTTGGAAGCATAGTTGTTTTAGTTCACTTGAAATAACACTGTCTGGTAATATGAAGATCATAGCTTTAATGTGTTTCAATCATCGAATTTGAAAAAGCTAGCTTATTATTCAAAAAATGAACACTTTTTTGCTCAATCTTGACAAGAAAATGCGTCTCAAATAAGAAAAACAATTTATATCAAACCGAATTAGCTGTTTTCCATTACCGGTTGCAATACAACTTCATCTAGTTTTAAACCGTTAGTACTGAATTTAAGAAATCAAAGCTATTAAGTTTTGAAAAAGGGTTCCATTGATAAGAATGACTTTTCTTACGAATGCTTATTAACACCGATATGTTTGACTAAGAGAGCAACATGAGTACCGATTAAAATAAATTTGAACTGAAACCGAATTAAACATAAATACTTTGATTTGTTCGAATATTTATTCTAAATTTTGAGACATTCAAATAGAATTTGAATGTGAATCAATCCTAATCATCATTTTATTATACATATTTATTCTTATATTTTCGTTAACCAGAGATTTATAAGAAATATTGAGTACAATTCTTTATAACGTCTATCAAATACTCAACGATATATTTGATAATAAAAAGTAATTTCTATATTAACATAAGATAACGTGCTGATAGAGTTTACTCTTCTATTTGATCATATATTAACTGTTTTAATTCATGAATGAGTTCATTCATTTTATTGCATACATCTGTTCAATAATAATGTCAATCAATAAATAAATTAAATATTATCAGTATAATTATTCTCTTCATCGACACTATACATTGTAACGATGTTACTACAAATCATGTTGAATACTTGGCTGATGATGCAAGTATTAGCAAATCATCAATTCAATATGTACTATACTTATCATAATGATTATCATCAAGATAAATATTGTCTTTTATATTATGTAAATGATCAGCTTTATGATTATTTCGAAGTGCCAGTAAACTTACATCAGATTATTTCATATTGTTTTCGACACTCACTAGAGAATTTCATCGTGATAAATGATAATATTGATAAAAGAATTACTTTTGAAGAATTACAATCGAAAAATATTAGTAGTCAACTATTACTTTCTTGGTCAGCACCTATTGATTTGGCCGAAAACTATGAAATATTTTTAAGAAATACTTCAAATGTATCATTATTCTATGAAGAAATGTTCTTTGACAACTTTACTATACCATGGTTTGGACCTAACTGTCGTTTTACATTTGATTCAATTACAGAAAAATCATTTAATGAATTTGTTACAATCTACTTTCGTTCACAACCACAAATTAAGATTGGTGAGAAAATAACTTGTTATAAACATCTTCTTACTTGTGAAACATCATTATCATGTTTGGATTGGCGTGAGATTTGTGATAGAAAAATTGATTGTTTTGATGGATCAGACGAATTTTATTGTTGGCAACTTGAATTGAATGAATGTGCTGATAATGAATATCGATGTCATAATGGTCAATGTATTCCAATGGAATTTTTTCATGATATTTCACTTAATCCAGATTGTTTAGATCGAACGGATGAACTTAGAGGTACGAATTATCCTGATCGTTGTCACCGAGATCCTGCTTTTCGATGCGAAGAACATACATGTCGACCCGGAATCGATGAATTTCCATGTGGTAATGGACAATGTTCAACAAAATTCGATTCAATATGTCATAATGGTCGTGATAATGTTTTCACTAATGATTCGTGTTCAAATGCTATTAATTGTCGTATAGATTTTTATGATGCTTTTGACAATATATGGTGTCAAGAATTTTGTAGTGAAATCGATTGCATCGAAGAATATTGTTCATCATTATTAAATTTTTCTACTTTAAGTTTATTCAAACATGTTCAACTTTTATTCAATAAGAGTCAATTTACTATAGAACCCAACGAAATCTCATTACCTATTTATGTATGTTATGATGAAAAACTTTGTCGAGATTTTCTTCCAGCTACCATCTATTTAAACGATTCATCTTGTCGTTATTTTCATGAATTAGGATTAGAAAAATTGGATACATTTTTTACGCTCATTGAAAATATTAATAATCTATTTCGTACATGTTTAATATTGCCAAATGAAACACATTATTGCAATCATTCAAATATGTATCAATGTAAGAATTCAACAAAATGCATTTCAAACTCTCGTCTACTTGATAGAATTCAAGATTGTCCATTAAATGATGATGAAACATTTACTGAAAGTTGCTCTTTGCCTGATGTTCATCGTCGTTTTTCATGTTCCATTGGATCCTATAGAACATGTTTAGCACCATTAATTATTGAAGATAGAAAAAAAGATTGCGATAATGGTGAAGAGGAACGTCGAAATGAAGAAAAATTAATCGAAAAACATATTTATTTTCAAACAATATGTGATNCTGAGTATATTTTTTTCTGGTATCGCGATTGTATTGATTCTATTCCTTCGTTTTAAGTTAGCATAATTAGAAAAGGATATTGATACATATTGAAAGAATACTAAATATAATATTCAATTCTCTAATAAAGTTTGAAAATAACTGCTTTATAGTTACATTGAAAATTTATCGTGACTGGTCGTGACCAGGTTTTGGTCACGGTCACGACTTTTTTTCGAAAAATGGTCACGATCGTGACCGTGACTTACGGTAGTCACGGCGGTCACGCCGATGTCTAATCTTGAGTGAATATTTTTCATTTTATTTTATTTTTTTAAATAATAGTTGTATGTTTTTTGCTTACAGAAATCTTTTTATCAGACTAATTATTTTCATGGAATCATATTTATCATATTTGATTGCAGGTTTACAATACTTCATATCGTTACGACTTTTATATTGACAGTTTTATTTTATGAAATTTACTTTTTTCAATTTATCCTTATAGATATAAGACTAAGAGACAATATGTACCGCATTATTCAACAAGATTTAAGTAAAAATGGAAAAATTTTATTATAGAAAAAATGCGAGAGAATGATTAACAATATTCGAAAAAAGTTAAAAGCAATTGTCTAAAAACAAGGTCAATACACTATAAAATATCAATTTGATAACAGATAATAGCTCTAACCGTCATATATTTCGATCAATAAATCAGATATAGGTTTCTCATAGATTTCATCGATTTTTTGAGAGAATTCAAGAATTTTCAACCACCCTTTAGCAATACAAATGAAATTATAATAAATTCATACTAATTATGAGAATAATGTGTTAAAATCGTCCTAGGTTATCCAAAAAATAATTCTATTCTGTCTATTAGATTCTTTTCTGACTCACAGAAAATTTGTAGATCAGAGAAGAATATTGACTTGTGACTAAACTACTCTGAAAAATTATATTTCCATAAACAAAACAACGTTTTTTTTTGCACAGATAAGTTCCTTTCAAAACAGCTGCTATATAGTACTCAAGATCAGAACGACTATGGAACTGTCATAGATCTATTTAGTACATAAACTCTACAGCAATTTAAATACGAAATTTACATAATCGCTGTATTATACTGATTAAAATCAGTTGTTTAATCTGTTAACATTCGAAATGTTAGACTAACAAAAATAACAATTCGATTAATAGTAGATAAAATAAATATAGGTATTACTTAGGATTGTCCAAAAGTTCTGAAAATATTAAATAAAAATATAAAAATGACGCATGATGCTTTTTATGAATTACCAGAACTCTGTTTCAATTTCTTCTGAAGGAGATTACAGGAGTTAATTGATGTAATGGATGTATGGTATCTTTTGTGAGTTTCCAAGGTATTCGAATGACTTTTCGGGACATTCATTGGAATTACCAGAACAACAAATCTATTGGAACAAAACAGTTGAGTCTTTTTGACTGAACATACAACAACTACTAGATATTTTTTCTGAAGAAAAATTCATCGTCAAGCTATAAGCAAAACCCAAAGCTGAACAAAAGCATAAAAAATAATAAAACTTCTTTCAGAAACCTGAAAAATTGGATTCTGTAAGGGTACAGCAGAATCTTCACACTCAAACTACACGCATTCTAATATCATCTCGCCTGGTTTACGTGCTGTGAAATCACTGTACATAGACTTGCACATATTCTGAGAACATCTCTCTGTTTGAGAATTCCACGCAATCCATTACCTCCATTATCTTCTATATCTCACTCCAGTGGAAACTCTAGGAAGTTTCAATGAAATTTTCGGAAACTTAAATAATGCATCCTATAAAAAATAAAGAGATATTATTAATTTAGTTTTATTAAATGTTCAAAATAGTAGTCATAATTATTTATACAAAATTCGATATTTTCTAACAATGCGTTAAATATGTTTTTACACCCTTCTCCTGGAGTATTTGTAGCTATTTTGAAAACCATACGAGTCAATGATTTTTCATTCGTTTAGTTAGTTAAATTATGCGCAATATAATCATTTAGCCAAAAATCAAATGGTGTCAGGTCTAGTTAAAATGGTCGATGAGAAAGTATATTGATACGGTCTTGCATTAAATAATTAATAATATTTGAATGATTATAAAGTAGAGCATTCTCATGAAGAAAGTTTACACCTATTGCACCTGATGGATGTTTTTGTTTCCATATCTTGTTGACAACAAATTTGAGACAATTTTCAACATAATAGTTGTGATCTATAGTCTTGGTTTTATCTCAACTATGTTTAAGAACAAGATCATTTGATTTAAATATTATATACAAAACAAAGATTTTGGCTCACATTTACTTCAGTAGACAATAATCGTTGGTGATTCACTTGCACTCATCTAACCTATATATGACAAATCCATGTCGCAATGATTCATCACGAAATTTTGTCGAATTTTCACAACAAATTCTAACTCGTTCTTGCTTTTGTTCAACATTGAGATGACGAAATATCCTACATAATGTAAGTTCTCTCATCTTTACACCATCGTGGATAATTCACTCTATTATATCATATGAGAGAGAGAGAGAGAAGACTCAGCTATAATATCATCATAAGTAGATAACCTGTCATACTAGTTCAATGTTTATATTTATCAATTCGGAAATCGAACGACCAGATCGAGAATCATCATTAATGTCTTCTCTTTCTTCATGAGAATACTTTGTTTGAAACAAACTCTTAAATGTTAATTGATTTATTAAATTGCTTATACATTTTCATTATTCATATAATCACTCATCAATTTTATTATTTTCCTATAATATTATTATTATACATGAAGTCTTTTTTGACTTGTAATAGTAAATAACCGTAAATATTATTTACTTGAACATTCCCACTTTTTTTTCTTCAAAAAGATTCTTTTAAAACAAATACGACTAATATGTATAAACTTTTCAAAGAATATTTTGTTTTTCTCTAGATATTTAATTATATCCTTGACAAATGAAACTTGAGAAAATAATTATACAAAATTACATTCGTCTTTATTTCATTTTGATTTCGATCATCATGTTAAAAAAGATATTACGAAACGAACGAACCTAATGAATAAGCAATGTATGTCAATAGTAAATAGGCAAAAATGATTGAATCATGATCATGTATACTCTTAGTAAACATGACTGTGACTTGCATTTAACAGTTATATTAATATATAGAATGACTTCCTGTTGTTTCTCTCGACAACGTGACGTATTGAAAACTATATTTATATTAGCTGTGACTATTAATTATTTCAATTGATGATTGTTTATTTTATATATCAAAATTTTCTTTTTTTAAAATATGTAAAAATAAGTAAAGATGATGCTATAATGTTTATATCTTAAATAGAAATCAATGTTTTCTACTCAATATAATCAGTTGAAAATGCAAAAGTCTATTAAATCTCTCCCCTTGAAGGAATGGATCTGATGAATGTAATAGAAGACTCTCCTCAATAAATTAATATCTTGCACAAATAGACCTTCAATTAGTATATTTACATAAAAATAACTCTTGTTTTGAGAGTTTCTTTTTTATCTCAAATTTAGGTTGAAAAAAAAATTTTTTTTTTCAGTTATGCTATTATCTGTTCTGTTCTATTTTTTGTATGCAATAAAAGATATTTATGACATATCAAGGCTATGAATATATAAAAGCTACGCCCCACTACAATTAACACTATGTTAAAAAACGACTTATATTAACAAGTAGAAATGATGATTCATTTTGTGCGTTGGTGATATTTCTCTTACCTTGAGTTTTTTTTTTTAATTATCACTCTCACACATTTCTCTTATTCGAATATTACCTATACATAGTAGTTTTCATCAATTATTGGTATTCGCGTAATTATTAAAAAAAAGTAGATTGGTTTATAAATTGAATTTTCACTAACAACGAAAGCATGATGATGATCAGGTGAGATAGTTAGAAAAATAATGTATACTAACGCATAAGTGTTTGAATAGCTTGTTAACGATAATTTTTTATCAAAAAAAAAAAATCTATACATCATATTAAGAATGCAACAAATGACGGAGAAGTCGACAAAATGAAAATGTTCTATAATATTGCATAATTTTCTTTAAATATAAATATATCGGGAGCAAGCCTTCTAAATTTTTTGATTAGTATGCTTGATAGGCATGATTTTTCTTCATAAATCCATTATAATATATGGTAAATGTATAAATTTGAAAAGCTTATGTCATACTTTTTTTGCATGCATAACATATGATAATAAAAGTAATGAGACAAATTTCGGATCCTATCTCTCTTCGATAGAATAGTGCTAAAAGAAAACTTTATTTGCCAAAAGATAGAGAATTTTTTTTTCTCTTTTGAATCGTATAATAACTTATGAAATGTCATGATAGAAAAAAGAAGTACTCTCGAAATGGGTATGCTTTTTTTTTTTTATATATAATATAGAATAATGATACAAAATATCAACCCTTATATTTCTTTAATAAATATGTGTTGGAATAATATTTTTTTTTTTTTCATCAACTAATAGAAAATTTTCTTCTCTTTCGAACTGTGTATATAACTTAATTTTGTTATTCATGCATAAACAAAATCATACGAGAAGAAAGAGAAAATACTCGCACAACGAATTTGTAATTTTTTATATTGACTCATCAAATCAATCATATAAAACGACAGTTAGCTATTTTATAAAGCATAGCACTCCAAAAAACAACGATTTATAACATAATTATTTCAATCGTTTTATACGATCTATTTGATAAATCAATATGAAAAAATTGTAAATTCGTTGTGCGAGTGTTTCTCTTTCTTATCGTGTCAGTTTATTTACGCATTTACAACAAAATTAAGTTATATACAATTCGAAAGAGAAGAATATTTCCTATTAGTTGATAGTAAAAAAAGAAAAATTTATTATTCCAACACGTATTTACTAAAGAAATAGAGAGAGATTGATATTTTGTATCATTATTCTATATTACATGAAAAATTCGAGACTCATTTTTGAAGATGTTTGTCTTTCCTATCGTAGCATTTCATAGATGAATA